TGATTTTGTCCCAGATCCCCAAGTGGCCCCCTCAAGGATTGAACTCACAATCCTGGGTTTAGCAGGCCAATGCTCAAACCACTCAGCTATCCCTCTGGGAAAAGTTCTCTAGGATCCACCTGACCAGGGATTAAGAAATGAATAGGGCAGCAGTATGGGGCACCATCCTCTGGATCGTTTAAGTTAGTCATCTCCAACCTTTTAACAAAAGATCACTTTTTGAATTTAAGTGCATCTCAGGATCTACCCCACCCCTTCTGTGAGGCCCTGCCCTGTCCCTAAAGCCCCACCCCGCTCACTCCATCCCTCCTCCCTCCGTCATTCACTCTCCCCCACCCTCACTCACTTTCACTGGTCTGGGGCAGGGAGTTGGGGTATGAGAGAGGGTAAGGGGTTCGGGTCTCTGGGAGGGAGTTTGAATGCAGGGGGGAGTTCAGGGCTGGGACAGAGGGTTAAGGTGCAGAAGGGGGTGTGGGGTGTGGGCTCTGGGAGGGAGTTTGGATGCAGGAGGGGGCTCAGGGCAGGGGAGGGGGTTGGAGTTTGAGAGGGTGCTATGGGGTGCTGGCTCCAGAATGGGGGTCAGGGCTGTGGGTTGGGGTGCGGGCACCGTCTGGGCAGCGCTTACCTCAGGCGGCTCCCAGCCAGCAGTGCGGCAGGGCTAAGGCAGTTGCCCCAGCCCCAGCCCCAGCCCCATGCCACTCCCAAAAGCGGTCAACATGCCCCTGTGGCCCTGGGGGGCAGCATGTGGCTCCTCACACTGCCCCTCTCTGCAGGCACCACCCTCGCAGCTCCCATTGGACGCAGTTCCCCGTTTCCAGTCAATGGAGCTGCGGGGGCGGTGCTCGCAAGCAGGAGCAGTGTGCAGAGACCCCCTACCTACTGCAGCGGCGTGCTGGCCGCTTCCGGGAGCGGCGCAGGGCCAAGGCAGGTAGGGAGCCTGCCTTAGCCCCACTGTGCCGCTGGACTGTTATCAGCCAGAGATCACAATTGACTGCCAGAGGCTCCAGGATTGATCAGTTAATCGCAATCTATGGTTGGTGACCACTGTTTTAAGTAGTATTTCAAAGCCTCACTGTTTTGTTTTGGTTTTATAGTTGTTTGTTTTAAAAGAAAACAACCTCAAATGGTAGCTTTGTGGCAGTTGCAAGACAGGTTTTCCCTGTGCATGTGAGTTCCGGAAACATCCCTGCTGTATCTGATCTGCCATCTTACCACAGAGTCTCTGCTGAAAAGGAAACAGAAGAAATGGAAACCGAGGCAGCGAACACCCCCCCTGTTACGATTAAGTAACCAGCTACCACAGTTAGATGTTGATCATTCTGGTTTGTGTTGGTACAGTGCACCAGCAGCAGGATGTCGCGGAATATTTCCGGATTCTGATGAATAAAATCGTTGAGGAGAAAGAAGATCTTCAGCCGGTAATTCTTCTCTTCAGGAAATCATAATTTGAGATTCTTTTAGATCATTACTTCCAAGAAAACCCTCCATTTAAATAACTTTAAATTGCAAAATCAAGGAAGTGCCAGACGTAAGATTGTGCAGGCTATCTTAATTCAGCCCCCTTGTGCATATGAATTATTTATTATACAGTCTTCAATGACATGATCGTGCTCTGTTTTTTCCAGTGATCCCTGCTTTATTCAATGCACAGGGGCCTGGCTATTGATAGAGGTCTCAACAGGTGCTCAGTGAGTTGAATTATATAAAACTTCTTATTTTAAAGGTCCTTGGCATTAAATATTTCTGCAGCTGTCATTTTCCGTCAATAGTTATTGAGAAAGTTCCACTTCTCAGGCTTTTGAAGAGGTATCTTTTTTGCTTTAAATAGTTGCTTGGCCACAGTTGAAATAGTGCAGCTGGTGAGTGGGTATGTTGTCCTTTGGAGACAGTCCATCTTCTGGAGGTGACACTGCTGGACAAGCAGGTGCAGCAGCAACTGGCGCTGAGGTTCCAACAGTGCAGAGTGAGCAGAGGGGTCTGAACTTTGCTGCTGGAGGAGTCCCTCCCCACTGGGACTGGCCACACTGGATAATTCAGTGCACAGGTGGATGGTGCTCTGAGGATGAATCAGGCTTGTGTAGTGAAGGAGGCTGTCGTCCATAGGACCCCTGCTGCATTTGTTGCAGAAGCTGGAAGGTGTGTAATGAACGAGGCAGGGGGCTGCAGAACGAGAACGGGTGGGTCTTATGCTAAAGGCAGTTGAATACCACCCTGGAGAACTGGCTTCTATCCCTGCCTGTGCTGCAGAGTTCCTGTGTGATGCTGGGCAAGTCACTTCAACCAAAATGTTCACAGCTGGCCACTAGTTGTGTGTTCCTCCTTTTCTGGATGCCCAACATGAGGCACTTGGGGCTAGATTTGCAGAAGTGCTGAGCACCCTTAGGGGCGAGTGAAGTGGACTGGAGCCATAATTTGAACATTTAAGGTGCTATAAAATCAGTGGGCAATTATGACAATTTTGGCTTTAATCTCTTGCCTCAGTTCCCCCGTTGTAAATTGGTATGCTAGCACCACTTAATCTCACAGGGTGTTGGGAAGACAAATTTATTAGCATTTGTGAAGCACTCAGATACTGTAGTGAGAGGAACATAGAAACACCCAGGAGGAAATGAATAATTCTGGATTCAGTGCAGGGTTTGCAAGGCGTGTGGAGAATAATTGAACACATTGAATGAGGACGATAAAAATAAATATTGAATAATTTCCTAGTCACTGAATGTGGCGGGGGTCATTAGAAAAACATAGCATGTGATCATGTAATTAAATACTGTATCATAATGTATATATGTGCAAGGGGTTGCAACCTTACCTCTGGCATTTAACTTTTAAGTGATTGTCACTGCAACCTGGTTCTTATTTTAATGTAGTTTTTTTTTAATGTGATTTCCTCAGATTTTTAAAAAACAAACCAAAAAAGTAAATCCCATCATATGGAACCATGCTGACCCCCCAGCCTGGTGCATCAGCAGGGTTTGGACCTTTAGATCCACTGCACAGACCTCTACCACATGAGCTAGTAGAGTAACTGATAGCTGTGTCAATTGAGTATATAGATCCGGCACTGGAGGGGGAGGAGAGACACACTTTGCCAGCTATTGCTGACAGCAGAGAAGTGTAGAGGCTCGGGACTTCTTGATTCAATTCCAAGTTCTGTAGGAGAATGTGCTTTAGTGGTTATAGACCCTTTGGCCTTTGTCCCCTCTCCCCCAAAACTGTTTCTGTGCCCTTTCCTCCTATATTCCACTCCCTGGTTCCTCTCCCCGTCCCACTCTGCTCCTAATCTCCCATCATCCATGTCCATATACCTCCCTGCCCACCTCCCCTCTGCTTGTCCATACCACGGAGATCTCCCCCTCTGCTTGTCCATACCACGGAGATCTCCCTGCCAAATATCAAGTCCGTCCTCCAAAGAATGGAAGGACTAACGCTTCTCTACCAATTTACTCACGTGGATGAAACAACTTATTTTTTTAAACTAATCTTGTTCTCAGAAATGACAGAACCATTTTTCCTGAAACTTTCCACAAGAATTCAGCCTAAGGCAAAGACCAGCATGGAGAATTTCAGTCCAAATGGTTACAGTTTGGCAAAGTTATAAGCAACTGAAAACCGAGTTTTCTACAGAAGTGTTGAGTAGTCTAACCAACAGGAGTCACTGACCTGTGCTGCCTATTTTTTTTAAAAAGGCAATGTATTTTTTTAAGAAGTCATCTGCACAGGATTGTCACCTATGCATGTCAAGCTTCCAGTGCAAGACAGACTTGGAAACCTCCTTGTCACACTCTCTGGAGTGGTTTGTGACCAGGAGTGCCAGCCTCAGAGCAGACTGTCAAGAAGCAGGGTAGAGACCCCAAACTAGATGTATGTTCTATAATTAGATTTCACCACCCAGAAACAAGTGTGATCTCCTGGGGCAGTGTAATCAGTTTTCTGCTTAGCACCCTGTCACAGGCAGGGAGTTGGGGTGCAGGAGTGGGGGTCAGGACTCTGGGCTGCGGGTGCAGGCTCTGGGGTGAGGCTGGGGATGAGGGGTTTGGGGTGCAGGATCTCACACCAAAGACAACCCTTGTAGCCAGTCTTATATTAAACTAACTAAAGATTTATTAACTAACAATAGAAATGAGAGTTATTTACAAGTTAAAGCAGGCAACATATAAACACAAATGAGTTAGTCTATGGTTTCAAAAGGTGGCAGCGCTGTAGTAATCTGTCCGCTCTGAATATCTTTTAGAGCTAACCCAGGCTGACTCTGGGGATCTGTGCTTCTGTTTTGTATCTGTGTGAGAGTCCAAACAGCAAAGAGATGAACAATATTCTTGTCAGCGATCTTTATTTCCTTCTTCCAGAATTGAAGCTGATGGGATGAGCCCCTTTGCACGTAGCCTCTTCATGGGTGTGTGGGGGCAGTTAACAAAGTCTTTGTATTATGACCTCCCACAATGGCCCATTTAGGTCTCATCTACACTATAGACCTAAATGGGTATAACTGTGTCACTGGGGGTGTGTGAAAAATCCACACCCCTGAGCGAACAATCTAACCCCCCATATAGACAGTGCTATGTTGGTGGGAGAGCTTCTCCCATCAACATAGCTACCACCTCTCTGGGAGGTGGATTAACTACGGAGACAGGCGAGCGCTCTTTCATCAGTGTAGCGCATCTTCATTAAAGTGCTAGAGTGGTGCTGCTGTGCTGATGCAGTGTGTTAAGTGTAGACCTGCCCTTAGTTTTGATAGCCTCCTTGATGAGCCGGAGACAGGCAATCCCTCCTGATGGGTTCAGAGGTCCAGAGCAAACATTTTTTACTATTATAAAGCAAAAACTTAAATATTACCTTATAGCATGTCATATGTGAGATTAACGCATGCATCAACTTACAAACATTTCCTAAAGTCTAAACACATTGTTATAAGTTCAATACCCATTGTAACCGTGCTAACAGGCAGGAGAAACAGCCTGGTTTCCAGCAATTACTTTGTCAGTGCCCAGCTGAGGTCAAAAGCCTTGGCAAGAGCTGGCACCTGGTTTGCCAGCATCATGCTCCTCACTCTTAGATTTGTGGCATTGATTATTTTTAGCAGTTTAGGGCTGTCTCTGTTCTTGCAGGCGATAAAAGGCTGAAGTAACTTTGAGCACTACTGGGGAAGTGAATGAGAAGAAGGAGATTGAGCAGTCACTCCTCGCCCAATAAAAGACGTGTCTGTGTGCTACCTGTAGTATTAAATCTCTATGGATTGTTGGAAACACTTCTAACTGGTCACTCTTTCCCTAGCTATACCAGGTGAAAATGGTCCATTCCATCAATTGCCATGGATGCGGACAGCAAACTAGAATCCATCAGGATCCTGTCCTGAGTCTTGCTCTCGCTCTTGACAAGTACACTTCTAATCGGGAAGTTTATTCTGTGGTAAGGAAAAAATCCTGGCGTTGGTTGGGTGACCTACAACAGCAGATCTGTTGGTTACAGTTAAACCTTAAATAGGAAGCCATTAAATTTCTGTTCATAGGCAAAAAAAGGGGGAGAGGGTTGTCAGAGAAATACCCAAAACTCATTTGTCTGGGTGTTGTGTGATCATTCAAACTTTCGAGAGCCATAAAGGGACCTGGGGCAGATTTGTCATATTGTTTGTGGTTAATGAACATATCATTTGGGGGAAATAATGAGCTTTTCATTCTTGACAGTTTCCTTTTTGTTTTACATTCTAGTACATTTTAAATGTACAGTGCAGGCTGTTAACAGTTTTCAATTACTATTGAAAGTAGTAAGGAATAGCTTCAAGTATCAGAGGGGTAGCCATGTTAGTTTGGATCTGTAAAAAGCAACAGAGGGTTCTGTGGCACCTTTAAGACTAACAGGTGTATTGGAGCATAAGCTTTCGTGGGTGAATGCCCACTTCGTCAGATGGAAGGAATAGCTTGTTACCAGTACACCAGAGATGATTACACTGCCAGATGAATCCTGTGCCTTGTGTGAACTGAGTAGTGGTACATCTTTGACTGATGGGGCAGTTTTCTTTCACTGTAAAACTTCACTCATACGTGAAATGCATATTCTCACCTTATATACTGGTGTAAATGCATATTCTCACCTTATATACATGGTATGGGCTCAGATCCTGAAATGACTTGGGCACGTGCGTAACTTTAAGCATGAGAATAGTCATATTGACTGTAACGCATTCTGAAAGTTAAGCAGGCATGTAAGGCTTGGTCTACACTTTTGTCGGTATAAGTACGTCGCTCGGGAGGGTGGAAAATCCACACCTTTGATTGATGTTCTGCTGATCTACCCCCGGTGTAGACAGTGCTATGTTGACAGGATGGCTTCGCCAACTGACATAGCTACTGCCTCTTGGGATGGTGGAGTACCTAGGCTGAAGGGAGAAGCTCTCCCATCGGCGTAGGTAGCATCTACACTAAGTGCTACAGCGGCACAGCACTGGACGTGTAGAGAAGCCCTAAGTCTTTGCAGAATTGGGGCAAAATGCCCGGTGCCCAGAAGCTAACTAAAAAAACTGCAGTTTGCTTCAACTGGGGTTATTGAATTCTTCTCTGTTGCTTTGATGAGATAAAAAACTTTCAAAGGAAGTTGATGTCATAATTAAAATGTACATTTGAAAAGAAAAATAAAACCACGGTAAATTCTCTGCCAGAGGTCTGTGTGGCATAGGAGAGAGTTTGTTGGAGGGTGTTTGGGTGCCAGTTCTCAGGGACAGCCACAGCCCTGTTGCAACTCGGAGCTGTTGTTCAGCCGCTCTACAGCCCCAACTCAAAAAAAAAAAATAAGGTCATACTCAAGTCCGTCCCTGTTCAGATAAGAACTTAAGCATATGTTTGAGTACATATGCTTAAGTCTTAAGTCCCATTAAAGTCAAGGGGCATTGAGAATGTGCTTAATGTTAAGCACCTGCTTAAGTGTTTTCCTGAATATGATGTTTCCTGATTAGGTTTGGTCTATGTACTAAAAGTTTATCTGGAGAAAAAACTCATTTGTTAGCAAAGTTGATGTACTTCTTCATACAGGAAAAAAAGCAGGTCCAATATTTAATATAATGCTGTCCCTTCAGTGCCCTGTGAGATATGATCCATGCTGTTAAATGTACTTTTCTCTTTCAATCATAATAATGTACATCAAATTGTAATTTCTGTCTCTTTGTAGCATAATGCTTTGGCTGATGTACAGAAAGTAAATGAATTTACTGGTGATGAGCAGTTCTATTGTGAAACATGTAAAAGCAAACAAGATGCCACATCGGTAAGCAAGGACTGTTTAGAATGATCTATTGTACACAGCGCTGAGCTCAGCTGCTCAGACTTGAAAGATGTATGTAAAAAAAGAGGGAAATTGATTTTTTAAAATAAATGTATATTTTATTGCAACAATCTGTCTACAAAAGGACCTGTTTAGAATGGAGACGATAGTCATACGTATGAATGTAATGTGCTGCTTTGCTCCCTCTTTCAGCGCTGCTACTTTGAAACTCTCCCCCCGATTCTTGTTCTCAATTTGAAGAGATATCAGTTTGATGGTAACTGGTTTACAAAGCTGCATTATGAGGTGTCTGTGCCTTTTTCACTGACTGTGAATTCAGAAGAACAGCCTGTAAGTACATGGACTTTCCACTGAGCTCTCGGGGGAATTTTAGTCTCTATTTGCCTAGTACAGGTAATGACAAAAAGAACAGGAAGGAAAATATACTAACAAATTCCCTAACGAGGACTCATAGAGTTCAGGCCTACCCTTGTGCAAACCTATTGTAGTGAACCTTGAACCTGTGTTGGGTGGTGCCTTGTCTTGAGATTTGAGGTCTTGACTCTGAAGGACAGAAATTTGCCATTCAGGGAAATCTGTGAACTATGATGGAGTGTCCCTAGCTGATATCTCCCCCTCTCTGAGCCCTGGGATCCCTAGGTACCATTTCCAACTTCGAGTTGGGGTTTGATGGCATCCTTCCACTACCTTTTGATCCTGGTGACTCCTACTGCCTCAGTCTTTGGGGGACGCTAGGCTCAGGAGTTAGAGTGTGCCCCCTTGCAGAGATGATTTCATAAACTTGAACTTGCAAGCAAACCTCTATGGGATTGTTCTTCATTGAGTGACGTTGTACATCTTCCATTCTTGGTATCATGCGTCCCCTAGTGCCAGAGATTGGCACTTTTTCCTAGTTAGCAATCTGCTGTTGGTCCCCACATGCTCACTGAATGCCCTCACACTCTCCCACCCACCTCCAGGCGGAGCAGACAAGGGGCGGAGCAGACAAACCACCACTCATTTCCTTCAACTGCAGCCTTAAGCTGGAGATGGAACACTTTAGCAGTGCCTTATTTCTAGTAGCATAGTCTATTGCAAATAGTGATTTAGTTAGTTAGTTTTAGATGTTTTTTTCTGAGTATTTTAGAGTTAGTATTTTAAGATAGTTTTAATGTTTCGTTAAGTAGTGGGTGATAGGCAGCTGTGTCATCTCCTAAATCTCCCAGTTTCAAAACATGCCCTTCATGTCATGATGCTGTGCTGGACCGCGACACTCAAGAAAAGTGTCTTTACTGTCTAGGTGAGGGGCATATTCCTAGCAAATGTGCTACTGCTGCTCTTTCGGCAAAGGATCTCAGAAGAACAGGGAGATTAAACTCAGGATTTATCTCCTGGAGAGATCCACGAGACCTGACTCAGATCCTGGTCAGTCAGATCCGTCTATCGCCAGTGTTCCCTCTCCATGTAGTGCTCCTGCTGCTGTTAAAGGATCTTAGACTGAAAAGGGATGCTGATGTCATTCCCCAGGCCTTCAAAGGAGAAGATGGTGAGATCACCTGAAGCTGTGGCTTTGGAAGGGATTTCAAGGCATACAAAAGTGCCCCCTGAAGCATACCTGTAAGAGCTCGGTACTGTTAGAGAGCCTTCAGATCAGCCTGAAGTTTCAGTACCACCTCTGAAGGTTACAGTACCCTCTACTACAAGTGCTCCATTGGTACACAAGGATTCGGTATTGTGTGCACAGGTATCGTCTAAGGTCAAGGATTCTGCCTCCATGATGCCTTTCTCATTGGTACCACATACTTCAGTACCAATAGAGTTCACATTTTCAGCACTGGTACTGATTACTACAGCTCCCTTATTCATGGTACCATCTGGTTAATTTGTATCTGGGCAAAGAGAATCCCCTTTAGTGGCTCATGCTGACAATCCATTGTCAGTATCATGTCTGGGTGAATCACCAGTACTGTTTATTAAACATTTGACTGCCGGATCTAGTACTCACTTAATGAAGACCCCTCAAAGGTCTGCTTATCTTTGTTCGGAAGAATATGAATTATCTTCATCGGCTTCTGAGCCAAGTTTGTGGGGATCTCCTTCTTACACACCTGCCTATCAATGACCAGAGGTTCATCCTAAAACTAGACCTCTGAAGTCTACTCGTAAGATTATGAACCTTCCCATGCTTGTTGATTTCCTCCTTCTTGGGCTGCCACCCAGTTCCTTTATGGTCAGTAGATGTGGCCTTACTAGTATCGTTGTGCTCCTCAGGAGTAGAGGGCCCCATCTTGGTCTCATTCAAGGCAAAGGTCTCCATCACCCAAGAAACCAGAAATTGGTCATCCTGGATAAGCAACCTCAGACATCTCCAGTGCTACATCAGCAGGTTTCCTCTGAGGAAGAATTACAGGGTCAGTCATTTTGCAGTGTAGTTGTAGCTGTGTCGGTCCCAGGATGTTAGCGAGACCAGGTGGGTGAGGTAATATCTTTTATTTGACCAACTTCTGTTGGTGAGAGAGACAAGCTTTCAAGCCACACAGAGCTCTTCAGATTCAGTCAGAGCAACCTCCTGCAAATATTTTGTCATCGTCTCTTCATTAAGGGGCAACAGCAACATCATCCTCATCTTTAGATGATTACAGATCTTTCTGAGCTCTTAAAAGAGGATTGCTGCAGCTGTGGAAATACCAGTGAAGCTGATTTCTGATAAATTTCTTAAGCTTTTAGGTGTTTTACTTTCTTCTGCACATGACAGAATACCCATGCCCATAAATGAAAGGTTACTGGACCTAGATCAAACTTTATGGCTAACCCCAGTAATGATTACAGCTACATCAAAGAAAGGTGAAAGAAAATGTCAAGTTCTTCGAATGTGTGCACATGTCCATTCCATTCCGCTTCAGGTCTGTGTGTCAGTACACTGAAGCTGGAGATTTTTTCCTCTAGCATGTGCCCTCCACACTCTTTCATCCTGCTAGCCAAAGGTATAAAGCACAGAGTGGTCCCGATACCCCTCAGTTCCTTTCTGCTGCCTGTGGTTGGCAGTCAGTGTGTGTGTGTGTGTGTGTGCTTGTCACACTCTTTCTTTGAAAAGAGAAAAAGGTAAAGTTTTTTTGTAAAATTATTGTTGTATATAGTTGGTTGAGTTTTTAGTATAGTTATTGTTAGTGGTACTTGTTTTTCAAAAATGTTTTACTCGTTTTCATTTGTTGTTCAAGCAGTTAAGCTCAGTACTGGGACATGCCTAAGTGCCCGTGGTTTAAGCGCTGTTCTGGCTGTAACAAATCTATGCCAGTGAGCGAGCCTCACTCTCGTTGCTGAAAGTGTTTGGAGAAGAACAGGAGTACTTGTGGCACCTTAGAGACTAACAAATTTATTAGAGCATAAGCTTTCGTGGACTACAGCCCACTTCTTCGGATGTTTGGAGAAGGACACATGAGCCATAGGTGCCCTGTCTGCAGGAGTTTTAAGACCAGAACTAAGAAGTTTAGGGAGGTAGGACTTTGGCACATCCTTATGGAATCTGCTTTGCGTCCTCCCTCAGAATCCAACTGCTTGGTATATGGGGTTTCAGACTCTACTCCATCCCGGAGTGCAGCACCAGATTCAAGAGGGTCCCTTCACCAGAGGGAGCTGAAGAGAAGCTGGCATTCTCCTTCTCCGATACCACACAAATGGCAGCATAGAACAGACAACTTATGCTCTTCTAGCCAGAAGAATCTTCATCCTCAAAGGCTAGGTCTCTGACAGAAAAAAAGACCAGGAAAAAGACAGGCACTGAGGTTAGAGCTGAGCCAGCCCTAGCTAAGTGCTCCCTGCTACTGCATATGTTGACTAGCAATGGCACCACATTTGGTACGGTCAAGATTGGCTCCATTGCCGGAACCTTCTAAGGTATCGACTTTGGCTTCGGTGCATCCCACTCTTTTGGTCTCAACAATGCCTGAGGAGTACGCAGTGGCCAAGGACCTCCTTTGTCTCCTGGTGCCCGACTCACCTTTGCTGCAAAATGAGAGTCCAGGACCAACTATTCCTACAAATTAAGCTCCAGTACCCATATCATCCTCGGCACTGACATACTCGGCCATCAGGGACTGTGAACTTGTCAGTACTGACAGTAACCAAAAGCTCTACTGTGTGCAGCAGGGCAGATGTACATTATCTTAAGCACCAAAGCCACCGATGGTTACCCTGGTACCGTCTCCTTTTCATCTGTCCAGGTCCTGATCTCCTGCCTCATCACCTGGTGCTGCACCACCTTGTCCTTTGGACCATGCTTACTCCTCCTCAGAGTCGGAGGTGAGATGTTTCACATCAAGGTCCCAGTTCAGAAGATCTCAAGCTTCTCCTTGTTCATCCTTGTGAAGGTTGAGTTCTTGGCACCAGTATTCTTACAGGAGCAGGTCCAGGAATAGGATGCGTTGGGGTTTTGCCCTGGTTCAATATCAGGTCCCACAATGGCCTTTTGGGAATTCTTGGGAAGGGAGGGTGGTTCCTCCAGGCTCTAGATCCTCATTTCCTAACCCCCATACAGCTAAGTCTCCCTCAAGGCACCATACTCTACCCAGTGCCAATCCCAGTACCTAGCAAGTGGGAGAATCTTATAACTCCGGTATCTGGTCCTTTTGGTACAGCGGTTCAATAGATATCAGAATAAGTGGACACTATAGCGCCACGGCTGAACAATTTCTCATCTTCCCCAGAAGAGGCTGTCAAGCTGTCTGCAGCAACAACCTCAGGGCAGACTGTTAAGAAGCAGGGCACAAAGCCCAAATTGGTTGTGAGTTCTGTACAATAAATGCTTGTTTGCAGCAACACCTTGTAAGAGCAACCACTGCTTATGAGCAACATTTCCCTGGAAATACTTTCCCTGCTGTGAATTGTCAACACTCCCCATAACAGCAACAGCTACTTAGGGCTTGTCTACACTGGCAAGTTTCTGCACAGTAAAGAAGTTTTTTTGCATTCAAACTGCAGCCGTTTCCACACTGCCAAGCCACTTTGTGCGCAGAAACTCCTCAGTTGCAGCGCTGCAAAAAACCACCTCGACGAGAGTCATGAGGCTATTTGCACAGAGGCTTCGGCACTCTATTGCCAGTGCAAACACTTGATTGCTTTCTGCGCTGTAATTGGCCTCCGGAGCTGTCCCGTAATGTCTCAAGTGACCGCTCTGCTCATTGTTTTGAACTCGGATGCCCTGGAGACATGAGCCCCTCCCCTTTCAAAGCATGATTTCCGACAGCCCTTGAGTGCTGTGCTGATCTGCTCCGGGACACAAAGCAAACCATTAATGTGGAATGCTCGTGCTGTTGAACACAGACTCTGTGTGTGTGTGTGTGTGTGTGTGTGTGTGTGCGCGCGCCGGGCCGGCTCTAGGCACCAGCGTCCCAAGCATGTGCTTGGGGCGGCACTTTTCAAGGGGCGGCACTTTGCCCCCCCCCTTTTTTGTTGTTGTTTTGGTGGCAGCACTTTGGCTCTTTTTTTTTTTTTGCTTGGGGTGGCAAAAAATCTGGAGCCAGCCCTGTGTGTGTATGTGTGAGAGAGAGAGTGCTGTGCAGAGAGCCCAAGGAGGGAGGCAGGGGGAGGGGAAAACCTCCCTCTCCCCCTGCCTCAGGACTGGTTGCTTCTTGCTACTGTCTGAACTTACAAGACAGCACGCTGACACACTCTCTGTTCCCCAACTTGATATTACAGAATGGCAGGACAATTCTTCATCTGGACTTGTCATCCCTACGTCTGACAGCCTGGATGATGGCTGCTTGAAGGAGACGCAGAAATCCTCTTCTCAAGTGGTTCAGGACATTTTAATAAATAATACAAAACTTTCCACTCACAGCTCTAACTGGAAAAGATATGATGCTTGGTCCCAGGATCATACTATGCCCCCTTTTCAGGCGGACAGTCCCTTCATTTTAATTACATTTTATCCTTAAAATTCCTGGGTTATCAGTTAGGTCTATTAAAGTATATCTAGCTTCTGTATCTGCCTATCATCCTAAAATTCTATATGTTTTCATCCTATTTCTAAAAGATTCCTTATGCATCTACTTTAAGAATTTCCATCTGGCCATGGGAGCTGAATATTGTATTGAGTAGTTTAATGAAAACACCGTGTGAGTTTTTAGCTACCCACCCATTAAGTCTTCTCTCCTGGCAAACAGTGTTTTGAGTAGTGATTACTTCTGCATGTACAGTGGGTGAAATTATGCATTGATGTCAGGTCCTCCCTATACGCCCCACATCTTCATGTCCTGAGAGACCAGGAATGGGAGAGTGCAAGGGTATTCATGGAGCATGTGAGGACGAACAAGGGGGGAAAATTCTGATCTCTGGCATGAGGGGCATGCAATACTAAGAGTGGAATACATATAGACACCACAGCTTGAAGAACATCAGTTACTGTAAAGTAAGTAACCTCTTTTTCATTGTCAGTCCCTCAGATACAATAATGTAGGGTTCAACTGGAGAATGTAATCCTGATCCAAGCACTTCCTCGTATCCAGGATAGTCTGTAGTTAAACCAACCTATACACGACAGTTGTCACATTGTTCCAGATTGGCTGGCTAAATGCACAGGCAAAAGGACACTGTTAAATGAATCCAGAGAATGAGTTGTCCTCTGAGCTCAGAAGTTGCCAGTTTTCCTGTTAGAAAGGAGCAGTATCATCACCTCACGTGTCCAAACAAACCATTTGTTTATTTTTTACATAAGACATTTAATATATGGCACGGATTTGATGCATTTGTTTATAATAATAAATACAAAATCGTTGTTTACATTGTGAATGTTTATGTGGTCATATTTGCGCACAACCAGATGTCAGTCTTTACATTGTTACTATAACGTCACCAATGTAATCACATCTTTCTCTTTTTGTAAAGAAATCAAAATTTTATTTCCATGCTTTCTGTAATTTATTCACTGTTGAAGAGTTCAGCTCAGAGGCCTAGGAAATGCTTTTAAGTGACAAAAATGCTTTCTGGCTAAAAGTAAGATTGCAATTAGCTCTCTATACATCCCTCTGAAAGTCTGTTTGCAGTGCAACTGAAACGATTGCTGATCTGAATTTGATCATGATTTTCTTCTAGAACACACAGTATGAGCTCTTTGCAATGTGTCACCATTTTGGAGGAATTCACGGTGGCCATTATGTGGCTGAGATAAGGTCATTTGAAAACGAGTACTGGTACTCCTTCAACGACACCATGGTGACTAAGGTAATGGGTGCCTGAGTTCAGGGAAAGAAAACATGGACACGTCCAGGTTTCTATTAAGGGATCTGAGAAGTGTAGTACAAGAGGGAAGTACCATGTCTGGAACTACCTCTCCAACAGATTGAAAACACTGAAAACCAAAGCCTGTACTCGTTTATATAGGTGTAAATCTGCAGTTACTCACACAAAGCCTATGGAGTTCTTCTGGCTTTACCCCGGTGTTACTGAGAGCAAAATTTGGCATGCGTGTATTACTGCATTATACCATGGACATGCTCCGTTTAGCCTCACTTCCATACAATATGCTGTTTGAATAGCACAGCATTCCCCTCCCTCCAGATATAGTACTGTCCTGTTGGATGAGAGACGTAATGAAGTAATTGTTCAGATAGCAGTTATTCTTTTGGTGCAGCTGGAACAAAGCAGAGTATAGTCTCCTTCCCATTAACTCAGATTAAATGTACATCGTAACTTTATCATCCATTGTCTAGCACTAACACAGTCATAGGGATACATGAGATATCGCCTTCACCTCCATGCTGTGCTTGTTATTGATATGTGATAAATACTTTGGCAATTCTCTTGGGAAATGATCCTTTCTGTTTGTTTGTTTATACAGAATACAAAAGAATGGAACACAACTGGTGCCACGAACAGGTATTTCCAATGCCATGTTCTACAGTTGGATTTTCAGCCATTCCTATGCCAGTGTGACATTTTCAAAGCTCCTCCCTTCCTTGGCAGCCATTTTTCTACTGTGTTTTTATTAGTTCACTGATCATTGCTTAGATCAGTGGTTTTTCTGTGTGCCTGTTGATTGGCTTGGACCCCAGCCAAACTCTGTTCCACTCCTTTTGTTTGCTTTTTCCCCTTTGCATTGAAATTGGGTCTGCTAGGCCTTTGGAGTTCAAGAGACATGCCTCAGAGGATGTGAAAATATTGGTTTAGGGTCAGCATTCCTGCTGGTCACTCCCTTGAGTGTGGATGGCCCATATAATTGCATAACATTTTTTTCTATGCCAGAATAATTCTCTTCAATGGGTGTCAGTTTCTTATTTAAGAAAGCAATGGGCTGCTTTTGTTACCTCCCACTGTCTGCATCTGTACCATGCCAAAACCAATATCTGATGTGTTAGTACACAGTTTGAATGTTTTGTCAAAAGCAGGACTGGCCAGAACCCGCTTTTCTGACAGGATTTTCTTTACCTTATCAAAACCTTTCTGACACGGCCTTGTCCCCACTATTTCATTTGGCTTTGGCACCCATCTGTGATGACAGATATTATGTCTTTTAAACCATGTACAAATCGGTGGTAATAGATAGCCAAACCTATGAAGGACTGGACTTGTGTTTTAGTGTGGAGTATAGGCCAGTTAACAATAGCGTCAACTTTCAAGCAATCAGGAGAAATTTTGACCACCCCCCTTCAATCAATCATAATTGTAGGGTTATTTAGATAATACTTTTGCACTTCATCACTAGTGCTTTGTCATAGGCATCTTTATTAGAATCACAGAATATCAGGGTTGGAAGGGACCCCAGGAGGTCATCTAGTCCAACCCCCTGCTCAAAGCAGGATCAATCCCCAAATCTCTAAATGGCCCTCTCAAGGATTGAACTCACAATCCTGGGTTTAACAGGCCAATGCTCAAACCACTGAGCTAGCCCTCAGTTTTATGTAGTCGGTATCCACACACGATGTGAACCTTTCCACTTTAGTAACCTAAATGTGCAGGGAAATGTAAAGATACGAACCCAGCTTTTGTTCGTTAATTTTGGAACATTGTATCATCATTAATCAAAATGTCAGCTTATTTACAAAGCTGCAAGTTTTGTCAAGTCCAGTTCCCGCAGCGAGCATAAGTAAATAAATTAAAACAAAAAGAGAGACAGGAGAAGAGCTGCTCCTTTCCTGGTCTGATGGTAGGTAGGTGGTTGCAGGCTACAGTCATGGTTCTTTCCTTGGGCAGGCAGAATCTCTGGTTCATCTAAGTATGCAGTGTTATTGTAGCCATGTTGGTCTCAGGATATCAAAGAGACCGGGACCAGCTTCTGATGATAAGAGAGAGAAGCTTTTGAGCTTACACAGAGCTCTTCTTCTAGTCTGGGATATGTACTCAGAGGTCACAGTAAAATACAAGGCGGAACAGATTGTTTAGCTTAAGTAGTTAACATATATTTCAAGGGACCAGTCAAGGTGAAGTGGCCAGTAAACTCCCAGACTGGAAAGGCGTTTATGGGGAGAGATGTGGCATCCATTTGATTAGGTATTAATATTCACTTCTCTTTTTTCTGTTGTAGTTCCACTGCATATCTCTTAATGTACCGCATGGCGAATTGTGTTGCTAAGCCAAGTAAGTGACGAGCTCTTATCATTTATAGGGTGACCAGATGTCCCGATTTTATAGGGACAGTCCCGATTTTTGGGTCTTTTTCTTATATGGGCTCCTATTACCCCCCCATCCCCGTCCCAATTTTTTACACTTGCTGTCTGGTCACCTTATTTACAAGTTGCTGTCAGAGACAAAGGGAAGTTACTGGAGGCTTGCTTCCCACCATTTGATGGGAGGGCTAGTGAGAGGAGCTGGTTCAATTTGCTGCCAGGGAGGGTCAGGGTCAGGGAGAGGCCAGGGCCATGAAGATTCTATTTCTGAGTAAATAGAACCCCTGGGAAGGGCTTTGGGAACCACCATTTTCCCCAGACACCATCCTGCTCAGGAATCTGTGTGTCTTAGACTGGTCTTTTACCAAGCATTACGGCCATACAGATACGGTTCACTGAGTCTCCCAGATTCCCCAGCATATCTACAGCCTGTTGAGAGCCCTTTCTTCAGGTGCTGTGGGTAAAGTGCAGCCTTTTCAGCACATGGAGAAGGAGGGAGTTCTAGGGACCCCACAGCCACAACGAGGATCCAGGTTGGGTTTGGGTTCGGTGGTGGAAGGGGTGGCTTTCTCCATTGGTTGTTCTATTGAATATTTGTGTGGCACTGACGCTCAGCTGTACAAACACCCTGGAGGAGGTAATCCATGGAGGCCCCAATGTTATCAATATCTTTATCAATGATCCTCTTATATTGTATTAAAATTAGGCAATAGAATTAAAGCAGAAACCATTTTAATTTTTTTAAAATAAAGGAACAGTTGAGATCAGCAAATTCCCAGAAGTGCATTAGGCCCAATGTGGGGAGATATTTGGAAATGGACAAAACCAAGGTGGTTATGCAGCGTTGAATGCAAAGTTAGCATGCATGCGCACCTAATTTTCTTTGGAATCCCCAAATTCATGGGGAGATTTGGATAAAAAGCTCCAATGTTCAGGGTACATTAGGAAAAAACAACCTCCTGCTCTTAATGTCTATGGAAAGAAGTAAGAAGACTTCCTAATTAAGGCTTAACTTTAACCAGCAGATCTGCCTTTGTAGCCTACCCACAATTCTTAACAAATACCAGGATATTTTCCTTACCACAGAATTAACTGCCCAATTATAATTTTGTTTCTGTACTGAGACACAAATACTCAGGTCGGGTTTCTTCAGCGTCTTCTGACGGCTGCATCCATGACAAGTGATGAGATAGCTATACCAGATGAAAATGGTCTAGGAAAAGAATGACCAGTTATAAGTGTTTCTGCCCATCCAGAGAGGTTCAATCCTACAGATAACACGCAGACATGCCTTATATCTGGGTGGTGATGTGTTTCAATCTGTCAAGGTTAAATCCCCATTCTGTTACTTCAAGTGCAGAAAGTGGGGGCCTGCAAGGATTCTAAAAGTTAATACTTGCTACTCCAGGCTTGTATTACACTCCCAAGGATACAGCTTTTCTCTAACCTTGGCTTGGTAAACGCTAGCACCACCCAGATGCAAAAAAAACCCTTGAACCCAGGAAGGAGCACTTGGGAATTCCTCCACGTGGGGTACCCTCAATCCCTTTCACACACACACACACACACACACACACACACACACACACACACACACACACACACACACAC